AGAAACGTTCTAAGTTGCGTCTTTGTTCCAACTCGAACAGTGTCCAGCAGACAGTAAGCTCTACTTGTCCTCTCTGCCTCACCATGCATTCAAGAAATGCCACACACATATATATATATATTTTTTACAAAGGAGCCAGACAGAATAAAAGGGGAGCATCCTCTTCTCCATCTGCAGTCAAGTGTCCTGTGCCCTCACAACAGCCCCCACGGCATCTTTCGTCTTGTCATGAGTCAGTCACAGCAGAGTTCTTCCCTTTGGTCTGAGTCACCTGGAGAAGGGAGAGCAATCCATCTGCAAGCATTGACAGAGAGGTGAACTCCTGAAGCAGCCAGTTCCCCCATCGTTGGGCATCGCATTCAGCAAGTGACGCAGGGAGGGTGCAGATACGTTTGGAGGTGATTTAATAAGAATTTGGTGGTGCTAAGCACTCAGAATATGTTTGCAATCAATTTGCTGTATACACAATATGCTACCAGTACCATCCTCTGTGTACGTAGTTGACCTTTATCTGAGGCAATCTCGTCCTATAAACAAGAGTGAAATCCTCCATTGCAAATCGCCAGCATTCAGGAAATGGCTTTAATTTGCATGCTGACAGAGATATTAACTTGGAGATTTGGGGGAGGGGGGAGGGAGGGGAAATAATACAACACGTCCTTTTGTCTGAAAGGCAGTTCAAAAATCTGTGTTGTGACTACAGTTGACTGAAGTTCAATTACTGTAATAAATGTATTCCTAATTTCATCTCAATTGCATTTGCATTCTAATGAATGATTCTCACCTTCTTGTCAATTTGGCAGCCAGGCTAGATTTATTAAGTTATTGTATAAACAGGGCATTCTAATGCAGAAATTTAAATGCAAAATATTGGCGCGGGCATCTTTGCACCGGGGCTACAGTATTAATTTGCCCATATGGGCCGCCTGAACAGTTCTAGTTCCCTCCATGCCACTGTGCCCGCTGCTCTCCTCCGCTGGAGTCGCTACATCTGGGCGGTTTGGCACAACAGGAGCACAAGGCAGCCAAGGAGAAGCGGGCCCTCCAAGCTGCCAGCGTCCCCACACTGGGAATAAGGCTGGTTTTATTTGCTATTATTTGAAAACAGTAAAATTTGTTAAGTGGAAATTTCCCACGTAAGCAATTCCCTTCTGCGAAGAGCAGGACATCCCTGAAATGGGCTCACCAGGAGTGTTTGTTCATCTGAATGCCATTCTGCCTTCCCCATCGAAGCACACTCGGCTTTTATAGCCCCATATTTCTTGGAAACAGAGACCAAAAAAAAAAAAAAATGTGAGTGAAAGCCAGCTGGATGTAGAGCCATAAGACCATTAAAAGTTTTGGATTTTTTTTTTCCAAAGTACATCTGGGCTGTTGGCTTTTTAACACAGCACTTTGCCATAGTTAATCCTATGCCCTCCCATCACGGTAAGCTTGGCCACGGGTTCCCCTTGCCACCTGCCACCTCTTCAATACTCAGCAGCTTCTTGCAAGGCCCCTGGGCACAGAGCTGGGATGGCCTGTTTGCAGGAAGGTTCAGGCCCCAGGGACTTCTGTTTGAAGGATTTATTTCCTTAAAGGGGGAAAGGTGGCTAAACCAGTGCACCCCCAACATCCATCTGTATGTGAGTTACCTGGGGCTGCTATTGAATAGCAGGTTCTGATTCCAGGCGTTTCGTGTGGGGTCCAAGATTCTAATGCTGCCAGGCCACCTGGAATAGCAAGGAGCTAGATGTCAGCTCTAAAGGTTGAAATGCATGGTTCATTGAGGGTTAACAGGCCCGCTGCATGGATGACACTAATACCTCAGAAAGGACTCAATCTTACCGAGAACACCAGAAAATTGCTTGGCTGTTTGATCAGATTTACTTGATACTTCTCAGAAAAAAAGCCATTAATTACATCACATGCCAGATTCTACGCCAGGCTGCTTTCTCTCAGATCTCAAGGCATTTCGTTTAGAATACAGGATATTATCAGGACTGAGTCAAACATGTTTCTTTCCTGCGTTTTCACATCTCTGGGCTGGGAGCACACTGCTCAGTAGAGCCTTAATTCCACTGACGTCCGTTTTACTTCTTTGTGACTCAGATCAACAGTGCATTTTAGCGTGGGCGATGTCTTAGTCACCATGATGTATATTGTAAGTCCCCCTACCCCCTGCCTGCGCACACTCAGTGGTTTTCTTGCTGGTACATCCTCAGGTTGCCTGATGGTCAGCTTGGGTTACTCATTCAGGAAGATCTGTTCTGTGCCTCTGTCACTCTTCTGGGGCCAGTGAGATTGCGTTCTGCTCTTCTTGCTGATCCAACTGGTAAAGTTCAGCATGCACATCCACCGACACCACCTCCACCCAGTCACGTGCTCATGTTCAAAGTCAGGGCACTGGGAGGTACATCCCCCTGTGGATTGTACACAGCAAGGTCTGATGTGGGGAGGGCGAGCCATCAGATTCTGTTCCACAGGCACAGAGTTGAAACCTGCACACCAAACAGCCAGAGAATCCCGAGCTCGGAGCGCTCGAGGTTCCTATCGAATGCCCTTGTGCTTGCTCAATCATCTCCCCTATGCCATTGTTAGGTTCCTCATCCCTCACTGAACCGCTCCTGCTGTATATCAGAGCAAACACCCAGGACCACTGGGGCCCGCTGACGGTCACGGCTGTGGCTCCCTACGATTGAGTCCTATTTGCTCGGCCTTCTAGTAAGCTCCTAGTGTCCGTCATCTCATTTCATCTTCCCAACAGGGGACTAAGGATGGGGACTAAGATTTTCCCTATGTGAAGAGAAACAAGTTGGGTCCTGAGCGGTTTAAAGTCTGTGCAAGAAGCATAAATGGACGCGGAGTCGGGCACAGAAATAAGACAGCACAGAAAGATGGATGCCGCATGTTCTCCCTTGTATGCGGAAGCTAAAATAAGTCCATCTCATAGATGTTGATGGCAGAGCGGAGGTTACCGGAGGCTGGGAAGGGTGGGGGATATGAACACAATGGTTAGCAGATACAGGGATATATCTGGAGAGGAGGAATACTTCCAGTGTGCTAATGGGGTGGCTGTAACTGGCTATAGCGCTTTGCCTGGTAGAGGGTTTTGAACACTCTCAATACAAAGAAATGATAAGTTGCTGAGGCAATGGAGACAGCCACCCACTAATGTAATCACAGTGCTTTGGATGCACGTGCTGGAATATTGCACCTTACCCCCATTGATATGCACGATGATTATGCAGCAACTGAAATTAAAAATGGGAACAGATTTTTTTTTTCCAACTTTCCTGTAGGTCTAACAAGGTTCTCTTGCAGAGATGACCGTCCCCTCCAAGGTCTTCCCTGATCCCTGCTGGCACACACTGCTCCTCAAGGCCAAAGATGCCGGGACTCCCATCCCTCTGCTATGTCACGGCTGAGCCCTGCTGAGAGCAAGCCTTATACCCCAGGGAGCACTGTCAGGGGTACACAAACTCCTATACAGAGCACGTGCTTCCCTTGAAAAGCTAAAATCTTCTCCCTTCCGTCTCCCCCTGCAAGTGCCTCTGCCATGAAGGGGCTGCGTTGGGTGGAGGAGGCTCTGCATGGTGTGATCTGCCCCTTCCTCCGCTAGCCTGCCACAGTTAATTATTTTCCTCCCCATTGTTTCTCATACAACGTTAGCCCAGGCAGTAAGCAGGAGTCCCTGGGTGAGTGGATTTAAAGGCAAAAACCGCTCTTCCTTGCAAATAGCTCCCTCCGCACAAATAGCCTGGTAATCAGCAATAATGATGAAGAAAGCGCAGGAAACATACAGGGAATTAAATGGGAATTCGCTAAAATATTAAGCATTCGTAAACGGGCCTGGGTGGTATCGGGGGAGTACTTCCAAGCTCGCTGAATGAACATCCCGCAGCCTGGAATTCCCGAAATAGACCTGCGTGTCTGACCTAAAGACCCAGGCCCTCCCCGGCTCCAGCCAGCCATCGATGCCCTTGTCTCTACCAGAAGATCCAGCAACTGGAGATTGTGGTTGGTGGGGGGGGGGAAAAAGGCTGAAACTCCACCATAAAACTAGCTTGCCAGATTCCTCAAATTGCACACTGTCAAGTCTCCATCCCATGCCACGCATCCCTTGCTGCGGAGTTTGTTGATAAGACAGACAGGTCTCCATCACTGCCGGCCTCCGGGGCTTGCTGCAGACTCGCTCTGCACGGAGCTCTCAGAGGATACTCCTCCTACTGTCAGCACCAGGATAACCCAGCACCTCCAGACAGGTGTTTAAACATCTTGTGGGCATTTAGGAATCACGTGGGGGCTGGGTTTCCAGCATGCTCAAGACCAATTAGCCCACCAGTTTGTATACCACGGGTTTTGATACTTATCTGAACTTATTTTGTGTTTCTCCTGCCATTTGGAGGTTTGTTTTTGTTGTAGTGGTGGTGGTTTTTTTTTGGTTTCCTGCGTTGTTGTTTGTTTGGGCTAATTGTCTTTTTTTTTTTAAGTAAGGTCAGCAGTAAGACAAAAAATTTTTTTTTTTCTTACCAACAACCTCTTACTACAAAATAATAATGGTCATCACAAGGCAGAGGTGAGGATTGAATCCCTGGGGGATGGGCTCACCTTTATCACGCCAGCACCTTGAACAGGACTTGCACAGCACAGAACTCGCAGGCCGCTGTCTAATGCTGTGAAGTTTGGACTGTGAGCCCTCATCTCATACCAGCTGGCAGAGTGTTGGCATGCTGTTGGTGCCCCGTCATTACTTGCTGAGTGATGGGATGGTGACAGAAATAAGGAACAAAGAGACCGACTAACTCTCGTCCAAGGCCTTGGTAGGAAATCAACAGAAATCACTCAGAATTTCAACTCACGTCTGTCTGACTTTGGAAATCTAGAGGTGAGAGTCCCCACCCTGCAGGTGCCTATCCACCCGAGATGGCGTGTCCCAAGATGGCAGGTCCCTGTCTTAGCACGAAGCAGCTTATCTTGGAGATTTCTAACTCCTTCTCCCTCCTTCTGTCCGTCTCTAGGTTACTGATCCAGTCGGTGAAGATAGGCCGCGGGTACTTCACCATCCTGAGAGAGGAGACTGCCATGAAGAAAAGGCAGCAGCAGCTGCAGAAGCTGCAAGAGGAAGAGAGAAATAAGTTCCAGCCTGCCATGAAGATCTCAGAGGTCCTCTACGGAGACTCGCTGCTGGTGTAAGTGGTCGCGGCAGCTGTGGCACTGAGGACCTTGGCAAGGCCCCTTGGAGTGAGCCCTGCCTGGGCTGGTGGGGAGGAGGGCACAGCAGGTCTCTGAGAGCAGAGCCCTGTCTCAGGCTCCAGAACCTTCTGCAGCCCACCCAGTCCTCCCCACCCGCCCTGCCTCCAGACACTGGGCACAGGACCTTCTGCTCCATCTGCCCTCACACCACATGCAGCTACACAAGAACTCTTGCTGGCTCCCGAATGTGCTTCTATGACTGTCCTTCCCCTGCATTCTCTCATTCTCTTCCAAGTAAACTCCTTAAGAAAGAGAGAAAGAGAGAGAGGAAGGAGGAAAGGAAGGAAGGAACGAAGGAAGAAAAAAGAAAGAAAGAGAGACGGAGAGAGAGAGGGAGGAAGGAAGGAAGGAGGAGCCAGCTAAAGTCCTCACCTTGCATGTGCTGGTGTTGCAGGAATTTTGACTCCGAGTATGGCAGCAACCTCAAATTCTTGTCTCGCAGGAAAGAAGAATTTTCATGCGGACGCAGTTTAGTTTTAAAGCAAGATTTATTAGAAAAGTTGAGAAGACTCCCGTCCTAGTGACGGGAGGGGGTTTGAGATAGAAAAGACCCTTACCTCCTGCCATAGTGGCAGGAGGAAAAGGACCTCAGTGCTCTGCCATAGTGGCAGGAAAATAAGAACCCTAGTCCTCTGCCATAGTGGCAGGAGGCAAAGAAGAAGAACCCGTATTAATGGTGGGGAATGCACCTTTTAAAGGTTTCCCTCAAAGATGTTTCTCCATGAACAAAGAAAATTCCTGGTTTCCATGGTACCTGGCCTTGGGACAAAAGGCCACAGAGGTGCCAGACCTAGGACATTCCAGGCCTTAGGCAGATGTGTATTACTTCTTCCTGCTCTCCTTTCAATGATAAAGAGATCGGCCTGAGACCCTCCCACAATGGCCGGAGGTAATGGCCGATACTTCTGGTGGGGAATTGATATGCTAATAGCACCCCTGTCCCTGGGAGAGTGAGTTCAAGACATGGTGGGGAAATTCTCTTTTACTCAGGGACCCAGAATACCCTAACTGCCTACTACCCACTCTAACTCCTCTCTCATTCCGCCCCCCAGAAGAAGTGACCCTAACTGCTGTTAGGGGACTGGGACGACGACCGTTCTTAACTGCTTCCTGCTGACAGGGGGCGTAGTTCAAAGGCAGCAGTTGGGTATTCCTCTGGGGGTCAGTCTAAGGGTCCCCAGTGGAACGTAGAAGTCAGAGACGCTTGGCAGAAGTCATCAGAGGTGCCTGGCAGGTTGTTTTGGCTCTGGATGTTCCTTCTTGTTGAAGTCTAGATGACAAAACAAAGACAATTATTATCTCTCCCAACCTAGTATGTCATGGGATAGGTGGAAACATCAGTTTAAATACTTGAGTTTTAGAACTTAGATATGAGAAACATTTTGTTGAACATTGGACTTGAGCAGTGTTTAAGGCTATGAACTAGATTTATCAGTTTGAAATAATTCTTTTTAAGCTCAAGTTTTGAAACAATTAGACTCAACGAACATTATAGAACACATGAAACTTTCTGAGCTACATGAAATTGCTATCTAGGTCCATTAGAAGGCATAGAACCAATGAAAGTTAACATGTAGCTTTAGGATTTGAACCCATATAGGGCATGTAAACATTAAGTTTCCATGGAGTTATAATTTCGTCTAGCATTGATGATTCTGAATTAAGATTTAAACTTACTTGACTTTTGAAAATACTACAGTTGCTTTGTATACAAATGGTGGATTTTTAAAATAACAATTGTACTTTACCAGTTGCTGGAAACCCTAAGAGTGTCAGAAGACATTGAGCCTAGAACATAAAGCACAGCGCTGAAAACATTTCATTGCAAGACTTATCTGGATCATAGCATAGATGGCAAAAGACTAAACTAGTTGTGAGTTACAATAACCCAGCAGCTTATGGCATTCTAGTAAGAACTCACAAAACTCCACACATTAGGGCAAAGGCAATGAACTAGTCCTGTAGTTGTAACAAGCCATACATTGACAGTTGGAGAACAGAAGAGTCTTAAATATATGAACAGAGAACTCCAATAATTTAGTAGATGAGGAAGACATGAACCCTGCCTCAGAATGGTGAGGGTGTTCTACCTAGTGATGTCTAGTACAAACTGAAGAGCGATGGCAAACATGCCCTGTCAGGAGTCTGGTCAGCGATACAGGCTGACAGTTACAAGCTAACTTTTCCCTAGGAAAGCTGCTTTTCTGAGCTTCTAGATTAGTCTGTCACCTAAGCTAATTTGGGGCTCCTGAGAGACCCTGATGATCACTCTAAGAGAGGGAAGAAGCCAAAGCTAGCTAGGACAGAGAAGGCAGTGTCCAGAGAAAATTACAGTTTTCTCTTCCACTGTGAGAAGCACCCGGGGCTCCTGGGTGCTGTTCTGAGGTGTCACTGAAGTCCGTGGATGGTCCGGGGCTGCTTCAGTCCCATGTGGGAGATCCAATGGGAGACGACTGACCTGAAGTACTTGGCCTTCGAGGATAGTCAGATCTCCAATGACCTCCTTGGTAGTTGGGACATGGCCCTGGGCATCCTTTCTGACGAAGTGTCCATTGCTTCTGCATTGAAGAGCACTTGGGAGGCCTCCGGGGGTCTCACTGGAACCAGGAGCACATACCTCTCTCATCCTGCTTTGCCATGGGATCCCCTCCTGGTCTCTGAGGTAAAAGACCATGGTGACCCCTTTAAGAGGATATCAGGGCACATTCAGGTCCCATTTGTCTAAAGTTCTATCCCTAATGTCCAGGGCAGTTAAGAATCTGTTATCTATATCACCTATTCTTCTCTACATAGAATCTAGTGGAATATACTTAAAGTCATTCCTCAAGCAGTTTAAGAAGCTGGGGGATTTCTCTGTGGCTCTTAATCTCAGATTTCTTAAAATAAAAGATTCAGCTTAGCAATTCTCATTTATGAACATTTGCCCAGTCAATTGAAATAGACTACATAGCTTGCCACGTATGCCAGATAACATACATTATAAAGCAAAACTTTTGTAACAGCTTTTGAAAAATCTCTTTAAGTGTTTTAAAGTTACCACATCTTGCTCTTAGTAACACTAGTTGAAGGTGCTTTTAGTTGGAACCTGTAGCTTACTGCTTAGCTTTAGTTCTATCTGCAATGGATGCAATAGTATCTGTTGGAACTAGAAGATGAAGCATTCATTGTCAGAATTATAATAACAAATATAAACATCTATTTACACAGCACACTGTGGAACCACCTGTAGGACTTATACACACATGTACTGTTTAGGCCTTGTTCATTAGGATAACAGTTGTAAACAATAATGCAATAAGATTAGGCTTTAGTGATGTTTTCACTTTTGTACCAATAGCAGTCTGTTATGTTAATATTTCATTATACTGGAACTAGCTAGCAGATTTAGTCACTAATAAGTAAGACAAGATTAACTTAAGAGACGTCAAAAAAACCTGTTGCTTTGACAAAGAATCAGATTTCAATTCCATTGCCCCAAAGATGAACATTAAGATGTTGTACACAATATTCAATTGTACCATACATCCTTTAAGAACTTGCTGTCTTCCTGTAAGACAAAATCTCACAAACGATGCTTTTTGCAAGTTAAAACATAAATAATTGACAATGCAAGAATACAAATAATTCCACAACGTGATACAGCTTCACGATTAAAAGACAGTTTGACCACAAACATAACCACCAGTATATGCATTAGTAACTTTTGAAACTTTACTAAGAATCTTTGTAATTTATGCAAGTATTCATTCACTTTAATAGAACATACAAGCTCACACGCAGAATCTGCTCCTCCTTATAGCAAGCACTACTCTGGGTGTAACCACTGTAGGCCGGATCTGATCAGAGCTAGGATGGCACTATAAATCAGTAGATGGTTAAACTTCAAGGCCAAACAGCAGCAAAAAGCAGCAGAAAACATTGCAAAAACACTGAGAACTCATTGCTGAAGCCAGTTGCAATGACACAGAAAAACTTTGATTTAGCACATGAACACAGCATTAACAGTGAGATACACCATGAAGCAAAAGGCACATAGAATGAAATACTAGTAGTCGGGGGCAGAGGAGACTGCAAAGGGAAAGAATCTCTCAGGCTACAAAGAGTTAATGAGTTTTAAGTTCTCTCCGGGGGTGCAGGAGTCTGGGGTTTGGCCCATTGTTAACTAGCAGTATTCCCGTTGGTTCCCGAGATTAGTGACCAAGGAGAGACAAAATGAACTTCTACCTCCTGTTAGATCTCTAACAATTAAGCCTAAAATGAAACAATTAAAGCTAAAAGAACAGGGAAGGCTCAAGGTAAAAACCAGTTGTGTGCTCCACGTGGCGGTGGAGCCAGCACAGCACAGCAGCATAGTTATGCAAAGAGACCCATCCAGACTAACTCTCTCCACTCTAAAGCTCAAAACTGGCAGCTAAGGCTTGGGTGCAGAAAAAGATCAGGCCCTTTTCTTTACATTCTGGGGATCAAAGGAATCCTAATGCTTGAGGATAAACCCCCAGGGGGGTTGTGGTGGATGGCTTGCTTCCCATCTGAAGAGAGGATAAGAAAACAGAAGCGTCCCTCAGTTTCTATCTCTCCTGAGTTTAAGACGTCTCTTAAAACTCCTATTGCTAGCCCGTGGCGTCCAGGTGTACTCTGAAGACCACAGAAGTAGGGAGGGAGGTGGGAGTGAAGCCAGTACACTTGACTCACGTCGCTTGACCTCCCACGCCTTATGGGATGCGTCTCAGTTAGAACAGCATGTGCCAGGAGTGAAAAATCCGCTCCTGTTTCCTGCGCCATGCTAGACCTAGGCCTCTGCCTGGTGCAATACTCTGATGTCCTGGAGAACATATAAGTCAGAAGCAGCATGTGCCAAAAAATATCCCCTGCACCCTGCTGCGTCTGGGACTTCTGCCGGACAAAATATGCTCTCCTTTTGAAATTCATTCTAACC